ATAGGGGTTTAATGTCATATATATGGTACACATTCTAGATGTACAGTTGGTCAAATAGTTTAATACCACATCAGTGTAAAGTTCCATGAGGTTACACTTGATACAGCCACATGTGTATAGCTGTTGTTGGCCGCCGCGCATCACCAGGTAACGGCGTAGCACTGCACATCTGGCATCCACTTGTTGTATAGTCGTTGGGTTATATTTTGGCAACATGGGTGACATTGGAGTCCCTGTAAGCTGGGAACGTCTAGGTGATACCAAATGGTGCGTCCTAGGTCCGAGATTCCATAATACACAGGTACCGGGTCGAGACTTCGACCAAAAAGGTGTATTTCTACAACCGCGCTTCTAAAGAGGTGTGTAAGAGGTGGCATATAATATAATGAATAGTCACGGTGGGAGCGTCCGGACGTCGGTGTTCCCGAGGAGCAAGATGTCGATGGAGTACCGGTACCTAAGGAGCCAGCGGTGTCATCATCAATATCGGAAGATGACATTGCTGGCTACAAGTCACTTATTCGTGAGCTTAAGCTAGGTGCAAAGGCCACTTTTGAAGAAGTAAGTCACATTTGGTTGAATAAGTCATGCCAGGCTCTGCCCAAACTGCTGTTTGAAGATCGGTTCAAAAGAATACCTCAACAAGATAGAAAACGGCTGTTCAAGCAGTTGCAGTTGGAACTTCTGAAGGAATCTAGTCGGAAATTGGCCGAAATTGTACATGCCTCCAGAGGTGATACAACTGGAAGCGGCACAGGGAACACAACTAGTAGTACTGATAACAGTACCATCGATGTTCCCACTAGTAACACCGATCACACTACGACTGGAGTCACTACTAGTAGTGATAACACTACTACTGGAAGTGGTAATAATACTACTATTGGTAATGAGATTACCCGTAGTAACAAACGACATCAAGCCTATAGTGCTGCTACTAGGCAAAGGAATAACCATTGCAGCTCGAGGGATGAACTGGCGCTGTCGATGGCACAGACGGCGTTTATCAGCATGTTGCACGAAAAAATTAGGATGCCATTTGTAGAGGGGGAAGTGGCGCCGTTGGATGAGGAGGCAATACAGGGTGACCCAAGGGGGGAGAGTAGGTACATTACTGCACGGGACAGAGAACGGCTGTACAAAGACTATGTTAAGGAGTTCCTGGAGACGAGGTTGGAGTTGTTTCAACAGAAACTAGGCACCTTGGGAAGCGAACACTTACGGTCGTCATTAAGTGAGGTATGTTAGTAGTAGTATAAGTAGTAACAGATGGTAATAGTAGTAGTAGTAGTAACAGAAGGTAATGGTAGTAACATGTGATAGTAGTATGTGTTGGTGTTATCTTGTTTATAGTGTTGTGACCATCATGCTTTGTAGGTCATTCATATTCTGGGTGAGCGGCTATTTGGTGAACTGCCAAGGGACAGATTGAAATCTGTCTTGAGAAGGTGGCGTGATTCCATGGTAGGTGCTCAACACACAGTGGTTCAATCGGGCGTAGAAGAAGGAATTGCTCGATAGCTTCGATGTCCTGCTCAGACAGACGCTGTGCTATGCAGAAGGTACCGAAAAGGAAAACCTTGATAGAGCCAAGAAGCTGTTGCGCGATGATCCCAGGTAACAAGGTCACAATTTTGTACACAAAGTGCAGATACCAAAGACTGGCGTCTATCAGGGAAGAGCGGGATGAACTCGTGCTGAGGCGCATCAGGTAGGTTGGGAGGGTAGTGGCATAGACTATGCTAGGGAACTGGACGATATTCACCGCAAAAATAGAGGTGATACGCGCGAATGATATTTAAGAGATAATATGCCCTATAACACATTTAATTTGTAATCGCATTGGCACACACGATGCTGTGGATAGACAAACATTGCCCGAAGCGGCTGGACGAACTCACGTCACACCGCGATGTTAATGAACTACTTGCTAAATTAGTTGATAAATCACATGGAGAACTGCCGCACCTGCTGTTCTACGGCCCTTCGGGTGCCGGCAAGAAGACTAGAATCCTCGCGACGTTGAGAGCAGTCTTTGGTGCATCGATTGATAAGGTGAGTTATCTTCCAACAGTTGAATCAAACGTGTATAGGTTAAAACAGAGGTGATATCCAACGTTGATACCGCTAATGAGGTCGTGGTCTGTCAAAGTGACCATCATATACAGAGTACGTTCTCGGCAGTATGTCGTTATTGATCTATAGTACCGTGCACCGAACTGGGAAACAGAGACCGTGTGATTGTACAAGACATTATACGCAATCTATCAGCCTCACCGTCAGCATCGAACTATTTTGTCAAGGGACCCTCTTATAGAGGTGAGTACTGGATCCAGTGATATATAGTATGCAGTATTTCTATTGGAAGATGCCGATGCGCTCTCGTTGTCAGCGCAGGCTGCGCTGCGTCGCACCATGGAAACCTATATCAAGAACGCTCGTATGATCCTCCACGTGAATCAACTGTCACGTGTCATTCTGCCATTACGCAGTCGTTGCTTGTGTATACGTGTAGGGAGCCACACTGTAGACGAGGTGAGTTCCATGGTGATCCCATGACATTGTGCAGATTATCTCCATATTGCGTGAAATATGTAACCAAGAGAACATTACACCCGGGCAGGCTTCAGACGATGTCCTCAGGAACATTGCCCACTCAAGTGGTCGCAACTTACGACGTGCGATACTGACTTTGGAGACCATGACAATGGGAGGGTTCCACGTGAAGTCGACAGAATTCCTCATGCCGTGGGAGAAAAATGTCCAAAAAATAGTTAAATCAATAATGGACAACCAAACACCCTCGGCAATAAGTACCCTGAGGCCACAGGTGTACGAATTGTTAGTATGCTGCATCCCAGGGGAAGTTGTACTAGAGTCGATTGTAGACCAGCTTACAAAACGTGTAAAGCCCGAGGTAGTACCCAGAATCATGCATGTAGCCGCCCACTTCTCCCATACCATGAAACAAGGTTCAAGGGATATATGGCACATAGAGGCCGCTATCGTACAGTTTATGGCACTTATAGCCGCTAACAAGTGAACGTTAAACTATAGTAATTATATTTCACATTTGGTTTTCTGTAATATAGTGTACAAAGTCTAGGAGGCACTGTATTTTTGCCGGTGCTCCGGGCAACCGGAGATATAGATGCCCACATTTGGTGTCCCTAGGTTATAACATGTATTTGGCGGTAAAACAGTATGTTGCTGTTACTTGGTATGGCATGCAGGGGTTCTACTGGTGCACTGTGCTTGAGCGTGCTTTCATGACGTTGCCAACGCTTTGTCGGGATCCCAAATTACCCATGCTTGACCGCGATCCTAACTTGGCCACACTTGATCTTTGTTCCACCATGTTGTCATTGATCGAGGGCAAGTCCATCACGTCGTCGTCGACTTCAGCCGATTCCCCAAAGTCCTCCTCCATTGGAACCGAATCGACGTATTCATCCTCAAAAGTAGCTTCTGCAAACTGTTCCTCAACCTCAGCTGGGTCCATGAAGTCGTCCTCCATTGGAGCGGCATCTATATATTCATCTTCCATGGAAACTGCTTCCGCCACGCTTTCATCAACTGACGATGTCACTGGATTTCCCTGAATAGCTCGAGAACCGATCTTATCCACATTTGCTCGTGACCCTACTTTTTCCATACTAGCTCGAGAACCTAGTTTTTCCATACTAGGTCGGTAATCTGTCTTCTCCACGCTGGTTCTAGATGCCCTTTGCTCAACGTTGGATGTTCTAGGTTCTACAGCACTAGCCCTGCTTATTCGGGATGCCCTTTGTTCAACATTGGATGTTCTAGGTTCTGCAGCACTAGCCTTGCTTATTCGAGAACCTATTTTTTCCATAGTTGCTCTTGATCCTCGTTTATCCATAGTTGCACGTGACCCGACCTTCTCCATAGTTGCTCTTGATCCTAGTTTATCCATGGTTGCTCTACCTTTGCTTGATCGTGATTCAGCCAGATTCTCATCTATTGATGGTAATTCAACTATGTTGTGCTCAATCGATGGTGCTTCCATTAAGTCAGTCTCAGGGGAAGGTGATCCACCGGCCAAATGCGCAGCTAAATACTTAGCAGCTGGGTCATCTCTGAAAGCATCGGGAAGAGGACCATGCGCACGCAAACGAGTCTCCAGAGCACCTTCCCTCCATAGACCCAGGGTCACTGAATGCTCGTCAGAAAGGCGGCCCAAACCATGAGGCACACCCTCAATGATGGCACCAACATACAGCATGCCATTAGGCCACTCAATCTCACCAACACCGTAGGGAACGCCATCGACAAAGTTGCAAGTCAGGCGCATTCCCTCGGCATTCACCAGTGTTCCTTCCCCGTTGGGCAACCCTTCCGAGAAGTTGCCAGCGTATACACGGCCGTCCTCCGAAGCAAGCTTTCCCTCACCTGAACACAACCCATCACGCCATTCACCCACGTACTTAGAGCCGTCAGGTAACATGGCAACTCCGTGGCCATGAGGAAGACCATGGCTCCAGTTGCCCTCATAGATTAGACCGTCACCAGTATAAAGGCCGTTGCCATGCGGCAGGTCACATTGCCACTGGCCATCATAGACCAGTTCACCATTCTGTATTTTACCGGGACCCTCACGCTTGCCCTCAAAGATCCAACCCAAATATTCCGACCCGTTGGGGTATTCCATGCACTCCCAGTTGGCTGCAGGAGCCTGGCTCTGGGAAGGAAGAGTACGGAACTCGGTAGTATCCAAAGATTGCAACAGCGATTGCTGAGTCACGAGATCCTGAGTCCTGCTCTTTATGGTAGAGGTACGCGAAGGAGCAGAGCCGAGGCTAGGAGTAGGCAAAGGGTCCTTCTTCTTAGGACGCCATCGCGCACAAATATTACGTAACATGCCCATTGTTACAACATTCTTAAATATTAAACATTATGATGCGTGACAGTAATTACACACGATAGTTGATGTCTGATTTAATTCGCGAATTGACCGAAGATTTGGAGCTTTAACAAGGGACAGAATGGCCGAGTGGTCTAAGGCGCTGTGTTCAGGTCGCAGTCCGAAAGGGCGTGGGTTCGAACCCCACTTCTGTCACCATATTCACAGCTTTACTATGGTATTAGACAGTATGTAAGTAGCGCATAATGGTTATTAGATATAGTTCCAAGGTCGCCTAGTGCGATTTACATCATCGGAGGCAGTGCCATGCCCTCACTTTCGCTTCATCCAGTGGTTGCGAGTGAGTGAACCAATGTATTTGAGGCCACGGTTAAACACCTCCTGGCGTGATTTTGTACTTACCACAGTGCCCTTGGTACGGACAGATGGTATAGCACGGCTGAGAACACGCTCGTAGTAAGTAGATGGCGCAAGGTTGTTGTACACCTGGACTAAGCGGTTGATGGCCTTGACCTTGCTTGCATGGTCCCAACCCTTGCTACGTTCAAGTACACGTATAGCGTGAGCTACTACGGCCCGGTACTTGCGGTCAGCGGGTAGAGAATGCGCTACGCTCTGTAAGTTGTGGTAACGTACCGAAGGGCCAACACGTGGTTTGCCCATATTGATGGAACCAGTGACGTCATCGGGGATGCAGCTATCGAACGAATAGTAGTTCCGAAAGGGGTATTTAGATGGGGGGCCTACTCGGCATTCCTCAGGGGTGCCGAGAGCCTGGAGGTACGCCTCATCACCTAGATACCAATAACACATCATATAAAATCACCAACCTTCTACGATAGCATGCACAAAACGCTGCAAATTCTCCAGTTTCTGCCCCAATCGGGTGAGCGGGTCGAAGGAATACGATTGATGGCCGCAGAAAGCAACCAGGGGCTCCAGACACTCTGGGGGCATGGGAGCATCCAGACGCTGCGATGAGAAACTGAGGCGATCGAGGAAACGGTCCACACGAGTCTCATCAAAAGCGTTGCGTGTACAGCGGTTGACCAGTAGGTTGCGTAAAGTGGCACGCTGCATGGCATAACTCGATTCGAAGTCCGACAACTCGTTGCATAACATTGGACGTCTGGAGATATATGATTAGTGTGGATATGGACTCACTCAATTCGCATGAGATGCTGCTCAATCGCCCTTGACATTATATCCAAGAAGTTGTCAGAAAAGGTGTCCTGCAAAATTAAAAGATACCGTATCCATTACTTACTGGCTTCACTGGACGCATGGCACTTAACATAGTACCAACATCCTCATAGGCACCTGCCTTCTGAACATCGGAAACCAATGTCGCAGATTCCGTAGCATCCTCAAACAGAGGGCTCCTGTGAAATAAAAGCAAATGTTAGACAGAACCTACGTGATTTCGTAGGGCTCCAGAGGTGTATTCGGGTCTATGCCCATGAAGTACTTGCTAACACCAGCTCCCAGTGGTTTGTATCTACCACCAGCACCGGATGAGCCATGCGTCCTTGTTTTCAGTCGACGTAGCTCCGCGGAAATCCTGCTGGAAGCTGTAACTGCTGATGGAAGCTCATAGCCTTCGGATACAGCCGCTGGTTTTGACCGAGCTGAGCCATCCAGGTTAATATCGAGCGCTTTCTCAAGCTCCTTCAGATTCTGGTGTGGTATATCCTGGTTCACAGTTGCTAAATAGACCACAGAGACCTACCTTTAGACGGTGAGCTCCCAGAAGCTTACGCTTGTCCTCAGCACTCAAGAGGCGGTACCGCTGAAAGCCTTTCACAAACACATCGAGCCCAGTGGTCATGAAACGTCGACCATTGTGCGTAAAGATGGCCATGAGTCAGAATTAGGCCCTGGAGGGTCATTGAAAGACGCGCTCCTGACGAAACAGAGCAGGGATATAATATCGGTATTTAGTACATTATTACATAATAATGCACCCAGTTATAGCTCGCGTATGTTACGAGCTAGGTGTATAAGTACAAATGTAGCTGACGCTGCCACAGCGGCCAGGTGCGGCCGACAGATCGACCCACTTACTGAGAGTCTGAATCAGCTTAGCTTCAGGGAGCTGCTGTTCGCAGCAGAGAACCTTGCCAAGGTATGTGAATCACCGGGTTAATCAATCAAAATCCTAGACACGAGTTAATGATCGCAACCTTTGGAGCAAACTATGTGACAGATTGAGGCCTGAAATAAAAGGAAATGACATCAACCAAGTACTGCGTATTCTACACGCATTGGCTAAAGTATCGTACAAAAAGGTTGGGAATCTGGAGTATAACATTGTGACCACGATACAGATATCATTTATGAACGCCGTGGAACGCATAGTGTTGCTCAGACATGCCGACGCAGACCCAAGAGCAGTAACACAGTACTTTATAGATGCCACTCGGCTGGAACATATAGAGCCAAATACGTTCCAGGCAGTGATACGAGCAAGGGTGGGTGATCTCAGGGACTTCTCGGCTTTCGATCTGTGCTTCCTACTACACGTTGCCGCCAAGCTGAGGCTTGCAGACAATATCATAGTCCAGGCCGTATCACGGGAAATAGTAGATAATGGCGACAAGTACGAAACTGTGTGCAGGGTATGAATCTATTGAATCTGTTTGGACATATAACACAGGACAAAGCACTAGTTGCCATGCTGGTACGCTCGTTGGCAATGCTGCAATGCAGGAACACACTATTTCACAAGATTGTGTATTCCAGGATACCCGAGTGTGTGGACGAATTTAGTCCACAAGAGAAGTCCAATGTCATATTTGCCTTGGTAGTGGCACTGCAGGACCAAGAGTGTAGGTTCCGTTTATACCCAAGGAACATATGACGCAGATACGACAGAGATTAATCACATTTTTGCACTGCTGCTTGATACAGTAGTGGATAAACTGCAAGAATTGGGAAATATTGAAGTGAATCAACTATGTATAAGTTTATTCCACCTGAGAGAGAAGCTGGTGCCATTCGACAAAAGGTACCAAGCACTTTTGGATGACATCATGGGCCTCAACTTGAAGTTCAAACCAAGCACCTCGAAAATGCAGTATAAAATAGCACCACTGTTAGATGATCTAAAACTGCAACATAAGTCGGAACAGAGAGTGGGACCATACGTTATGGACTACGTGATACCCAAGCTAAATGTTAGTCCACAAACATTAACTACATTAGATACAGGTCGCTGTTGAAGTCAACGGGTATTCGCATTTCTACCATCAGTCGACTGAATTCAATGCCATTACACGCCTCAAGTACAAAATTGTAAACTCGCTTGGATGGAAAGTGCTCAGCGTCAACTACTTCGACTGGAAGAATCGTTCCAGACAGGTAGGATACACATTGTATTTCCAATAGCTTACAGAGTAAATTGGAGTATTTGGCAGGGCAGTTGCAAGAGCTGGTTCAGCAGTAGCCTATTTTTCCATCGCCTTGTCCAGTGCATCATAGACGGGAGTAGACGAAAGAGATGGAGGTGACCTAGCTTCGAAACAATTATAAAACAGTAGCTATTACCTACGTTCGTTGTATATCATGTCTATAGTTACAATGGTCCAGCGGCCTTCGGAACGAGATAATAGACACGTGAACATCCCGCCAGATTTGGTGCCGGAAGCATTCACACGGACAACTGCCCTGTCGCCACGTTCCTCAACTGTCCAGTCGCTACGCAGCGTGATCCTGTCGCCCAGGTGCTCCGCAATGGTTTTGTTGGACCTGTAAATATATCATGGGTCGCTGTGGTCAAATGTACCTTATCTCTGCAATGGCAGCTTGGACACTAGGCGGTATGTTGAGGGCATCGTACAACATATACCCAGATGCAGCAGTTGCACATACAGCTGAAATGCCCAATAAAGCTCTTTTAAAGCCTGATGTGGAAGAGTGGTGCCTGGAATCCACAGACCGTGTCCCCGAGAGACATCGATAGCCAATACGGCACTTAGAACCAAAGTGACTATATTCTCTACAGCATTGTGCAGATAATCTCCTAGAGAGTGTGTATAACTGCATTGTGTAATATATACTGCTAGTGTGCCAGTGGAAGGACGGTAGTATGATGGCGCCAGAGGCATGGGGACCGACGCGACACAGGTCGTTGATACTATAGCACAACCAGGCTAAATTAAGTAGCCCAAATTAGAATGTTAAAATGAGGATCCAACTCAAAGGAGGAGTGTGGAAGAACAGCGAGGACGAAGTCCTCAAGGCTGCTGTGATGAAATATGGACTCAATAACTGGTCTAGAGTATCATCACTGCTGGTCAGGAAGTCAGCCAAGCAATGTAAAGCAAGATGGTGAGGAACAAAAAATATATATCTATCTAATATCCAATAGGTACGAATGGCTTAACCCATATGTCAAGAAGACAGAGTGGTCGCGGGAAGAGGAGGAAAAGCTACTTCATCTTGCCAAACTCTTCCCGACACAATGGAGAACTATTGGACCTATGATTGGCCGAACAGCCCATCAGTGCCTGGAACACTATGAGAGGTTGCTTGACCAGGCACAAGGGAGGGACGAGGTATGATACACTGAGACGTGACATATATATACAGGATGACGAACTCGATCCACGACGATTGCGGCCAGGGGAGATAGATCCGGCACCAGAAACGAAACCTTCACGTGCTGATGCAGTTGATATGGACGATGATGAAAAGGAGATGCTTGCAGAGGCCAGAGCACGCCTGGCAAACACAAGGGGTAAAAAGGCAAAGAGAAAAGCAAGAGAGAAACAGATTGAACAGACACGTCGTCTGGCATCATTGCAGAAGAGACATGAACTCAAAAAAGCTGGGGTCAATGTGGGTGCATTGAGACTACACAAGTCTATAATGGACTACGTCAAGGAGGTACCATTTGAAACACAGCCTCCAAAAGGATTCTATGAACCAGAGACAGGGCATGAAATAGACCAGTCACTACGAAGCATACAACAGTTGGAAGGTAAACGACGTGATGAGGAACTCAGGAGGATGAGAAACGACGACTCGAGGAAATTAAAACGACTACAGGAAGAAAACATAGGAGAAGCTATGGCAGTGTTCCAAAAGTATGATGAACATAGCGCAACAAGATCCAAGCTTGTTATGCCTGCACCGACCATGACTGATGATGAAATCGTGCAAATTGTTAAAATGGGCGCTGATGTACAAATGTT